GCTCTGTGCCAGGCACAGCAGAGAAAGCAAAGATGAAGTCACTATGGCTCTGCTCTTTTGAGTTGGGATTGGAATGAGTTGTTTTGTTTTGTTTTGTTTTGTTTTGTTTTTTCAGTACTGGAGATTGAACTCAGGGCCTTCACCCTGAGCTATAGCCTTAGACCTTTTTTATTCTGAGACAGGGTGTGGCTAAATTGCCCAGGCCTGGCTCAAACTTGTGAGCTTCCTGCTTCTCCTCCCCGAGTACTGAGATTACAGTTGTGTCACCACACCTGGCTGTGAGCTGCATTTTTGTAATTTGAGTCTGGAATGTCCCCCAAAGCTCATGTGTTGAAGGATTTGTCCCCAACGTAGCAGTGTTCAGAGGGGAGTCTTTGAGGGGTGATTGGATCATGGGGACTCTGACCTCATGATTGGTTCAATTCATTGATGAATTCACAGCTTAATGAAAGATTGGGTGGTAGTGGAAACTTTAAGAGGTGGGCCTCATTGGAGTCACTGGGAGTGTGACTTCGGAGGGTATATTTTGAATCTGGCCCCTTCCTCTATCTCTTCCTGCTTCCCAGCTGTGTTAAGTGGGCAGCTTTGCTCTACTGGGCGCTCCACGCCAGGATGTTTTGTCTTGCCATGGGCTCAAAACTGCAGGTCCAGTTAGCCAAGGACTGAATCTTCTGAAACTATAAGCCAAAAGAATTATTTTAAATTGTTTTGGTTCAGGCACTTTGTCATAGAATAGCACATGAAAGTCTACATAAATTCAAATATTTGAATAACTTCTGTAACAGATGATGTTTTGCTGAAACAAATTGCCACTCAAAACAAGGAGATGGTCCTAACTTTGAGTTTGGCCTGCTTTTAAAGCAGTGGGTCAGGCTGACTGTATTTCCTCTACAGTTTTTTTTTTTTCCCTGAGTATTTACTCACCTTGGTCTTAGTGATGTGAGTTCTCGAGTCAGATTCCTAAGGTAGATTCAGGGTTCCAGCTGTGTGTCTTAAGTAATGACTACACCTCTCTGAGCCATAGATTCCTCAAGAGTACAGGGTGTGGTGATAAGCATATTGTAGGGAGAGAAATGAACTAATTCATGTAAAGTGCTTAGCACAATGCATGAGTAGTAGATGTACCAGAAGGAGGAGTAACAGCAGGAGGAGGAGTACTTGTTTGATAAAGAGGAGTGAGAGGAGCAAGCAGAGGAGGTGGGACAGAAGGAGGAAGAGGAAGACGAGGAGGAGAGAGAAAAAAAGAGAAAAGAGAGGAGGAGGAAGACGAGGAGGAGAGAGAAAAAAAGAGTTCTGTTCCATGCTGGATGTCACCAGTCTTCACTTGATGCCATCATTAATTTTTAGAATCTTTATTCTTTTCTTATTAGCTCAGGACAATTAAAATTAGTGCTATCTCATTTCCACAAGGTCACAGACAAAAGTCTGCTCCCCCAAATCTCTGCCTCGCTGACTTCTGGGTACCCAGAGGCACTGGCCAATGCAGTGTGTTGGCCCGGAGCATTTCATTGCTAGTGTGAGAGATTTTAGAGCTCTATTTCCTTCCTTCACAGCAAACAGCAATATTTTAAGTGAGAGCTACCTTGGTGTCAGCCTAGGTTTTGGAGGGAGGTGACATGGAACAAAGTGTCAGCCAATGTGTAATGGATGTGTAGCATGAGATAGCACCAATGTACCATGTGTATACTCCTATTGTTAGAAAATCCTGAGGTCTAGAAGCTGTTTGTTACTGAGGCATAATCTAGCAAAGTGATGGTGCACAATTTAGAACTTTCAGTGATACAAAGAACCTGCTGTGGCATGTATGCCATAGGTTTGCCACCACTGATGTAGCCTGTCCTGTCTGATACAACCACTGAATTTGAGGGATGGTACTTATTATGGTTTGTAACCAGATGTTCCCCCAAAGCCCTGTAGGTAGGGAGATTTGAAGGTGTCTGGATTAGGGTGTGTGAATGTGGATTAAGAGTGTGATACTGGAATTAAGGGTGTAGATAATGGAAGCCCCCCCATAGGTATGGGTGGCACTAATCAATAGGTTTGCAGCCTGGATGGAGTATAAAGGGACAGAGAGAAGGTAGACTTGCTGCTGCTGCTTGCTGCTTTACTTCCTCTTGCCTTCTTTGCCATGGACTATTTCTCCTCTGTGGTACCCCTCTGCCATGCCACTCGGCCTTGGAGCCAGTGGACTATGGACTGAAATCTCTACAAACTGTGAGTTGAAATAAACCTTTCCTCTTCCAACTTGTGTGTATTGGATATTTTGTCTCAGCAATGAGAAAATTAACTAAGATAATACTGTAATATAAAGAACTCATCAGGATGATCTAGAACATGTTCATGTTAATTTATTTGAATTGTTAAAAATGAGAATTATCATAAGTTGTGTGTAAGAAAATGTTCGTATTCTTAGGAAAGGTACTTTGAAGTATTTAGCAATTTAAGAAGTCCTGTAACTTCTTTTCAGATGGTTCAGCAAAGGTGAAGCAGAAAGAACAAACGGTTAATAATTTGCAGTGCTACAGAGAAGCTGGACATGCTGTTCCTTTCACTTTTCTGTAGGTTTGAAATTAAAGAACAGAAACAAAAATTATCGCTGATAACTCAGGGAATCCCAAGAATGTTAATAGTTCCTGGTTTGAGAAGCAGCTGTGGGGGCGCTTATCAGTCTGTTTTTATTGCTAATAATAAAAAATCAGTCTGAGTGATTTATTTTTTAAGAAGTGGTTTATTTTGGCTCACAGTTCTGGTCCAAGGTCGAGGGGCTGCATTTGGTGATGAACTTCATGCTGACAGAGTCCCAAGGTGGCACAGGGCATCACATAGCAAGAGACAGGGAGACTGGCCAGGTGTGGTAGCGCACGCCTGTAATCCCAGCACTTGGGAGGCTGAGGCAGGGGGATTGTTGCAAGTTCAAGACCAGCCTGTGCTACAAAGTGAGCTCAAGGCCAGCCTGAACTGCATAGCAAGACCCTGTTTTAAAGAAAAAAGGAGACAGGAAGACTATGTATATATTTCCTTTCTCTGTCTCTGTCTCTGTCTCTCTTTTTCTCTCCTCTTTTTCACCAGTACCCAATCTAGGGGGCTCTACCCACCATAATGACTTTTTCTTTTTTCTTTTTTTTCCAGTACCAGGAATCAAACTCACGACCTTGCACTTGCCAGGCAGGCACCGTGCCACTGAGCTAAATCCCCAGCCCCCATGACTTTTTCTAAAGGCCTCACTCTAGACACCACAGTTGGATTAAGTTAGTACCCTCTTAATAACTCACAATGGGGCTTAAACTACAACATGGGTTGTGGAGGGGACAAATCACATTCAAACCATAGCAAAGGCACAGCAGTACATTCTGTAGAGAAGGAACAAGATCAGATTTTTGCTCCAAACATCAACCTGGAAACAGAAGGAACCCCCTGGGCCAGTGTGTGACACTGATCTAGGTATCAATGATCTAGGGATCAGAGGCAGCAGCAGATATGGGACAAATTTGGGAAGTAGAACGGATATGGCTTGAGCTGGGAGTCAAACACTTTCCTCCAACGTCTACCCTTGTGCTGTCCAGTGTAGTGACCACTAGTTGCATGTAAAGGTTTAAATTTGTATAGTAAGAGTTACATAAAATTAAAAATTCAGGGGTGGGTGGGGTGGTTCAGTAGTAAAATGTTTGCCTAGCTTGCACAAGGCCCTGGAGTCTGTCCCCAGTACCAGAAAAAAAAAAAAATGACAATAGTAAACTAAAAATTCAGTTTCTCACCCACAGTGACCACATTTTAAGCCCTACATGAGTCATCCTGCCATATTAGTCTGTTTCCTGTTGCCTCTTTCTTTATAAAGTACCCAGACTCAGGTGTTTTGTTAGGAGAAACGCAAAATGCAATAAGAGAGCAGTAGTTAGCAAACCTAAACAGAAATGTACTTCAAGATCCTGCAGTTCTACTCCTGGATATATATCTTACAGGGTGAGGATTAGATTTACCAAGGAACATGCTCAAGAATGCTCTGTGCCACATTATTTATCATAACCGCAAACTGGAAACAACCCAAATGTCTATCAACATACTATAAGATTACATCATTATGAAGTTTAGCCAAAATTAATCTATGCTGATGGAAGTCAGAATAGTGGTTACCCTTAGCTGGGTTCTGACTGGCAGGGGGCACAAGGGAGCCTGCTAGGGTACTGAAAACATTCCATAGCTTGATCTGGGTGGATGTTACCTGATTGTGAAGGATGTAAAAACTTCCTGGAGCTACACAACAATTACCTTATCTGAGAGGCCCTTCCCCACCACTCTTGGAAATAGCACGTCAACTCCCACTCACCTGATGCCTGATCTGCTTCCTTTTTCATAGTAATAATGACTGCCTAACTGTGTGAGCTAGCTCAGGCTGTCAAAACACAAAACCATACACTAGGTGACCTCAACAATAGCCATTTATAGGGTTCATGAACTTAATTCTTTCCACAATTCTGGTAGTAAACATACAATTCAGTTTGCAACTAGAATTGTGGAAAGAAGTTCATGAACCAAGGTATCTTCTCATAGCTCTGATGCTGGAAGTCCAGCTAAGCTCGAGGTTCTGGCTGACATGGTGTTTGATGAGGGTTCTTTTCTTGGCTTGCAGAAGGCTACCTTCTTGTGTGTGCTCACATGGCTTGTTCTTTGTACAATTAAGTGTGGGAGGGAGATCTATTTTTTTCTTGTGATGCTGGGGATTGAACCGGGGCCTCACACATGCTAAACACTTGCTCTACCACTAAGCTATACCCCACCTCCATGGTTTGTCTTTTCCTAAAGGGATTAACCCTCTCAGATGAGGACCCCACCCTCATTTTACCTTGATGACTTCCGTATAGGCCCAATCTCCAAATGTAGTCACACTGGGGGTTAGGGCTTCCATGTGAAAATTTGGGGGGAATATAAACATCCACTCTATAACACCAATATACCATGTGTTTGGTTGTTAACATATTTATCATCCACCCCAACCCCCTTAGAATCTACTCTCCCTGAGTTCCGGGACTCCATTTTGGTTACTGTGGCGTCTCAAGCATCAATAACGTGGCCTGGCATAAAAGAAGAGCTCCATAAATATCTGCTAAATGGTAACAACCATAATCATTGTCATTCTTATTTTAAAATTTAGATTAATTTTTAAATGATGCATAAAGGCTTATTATAACCAGCTGTGCTGACACATAATCTCAGGGCTCAGCTGCTTGAACAGGAGGACCACAAGTTCAAGACTATCCTGGACAACTTAGTAAGACCCTGTCTCTCCAAAATAAATGAATGAATAAATAAACAAATAAAAATTATACATATGTTGGGGCATTATGTGATATTTAGGTGTATATGAACGCTGCATAACGTTTTGTTTGTTGTTTTTGCAATGCTGATGACAAAACCCAAGGCATCATGCATACTAGGCAAGTGCTCTACCACTGAGCTCTGTCCCTAGTCTTTTGTGTAATGTTTACAGCAAGTTAAACGTGTCTTTCTCCTCGAACATTTTGTTTGTTTGTTCGTTTGTTTTTCAGGTATCAGGAATCGAACTCACGACCTTGTGCTTGCCAGGCAGGCACTGTGCCGCTGAGCTAAATCCCCAACCCATCAAACATTTTTCATTTCTTAATGGTGAAAACGTTCTAAATCCTTTCTTTTTAAAATTTTATTTTAAAGACAAAAAATAAAACTATGCAAAACAAGATAATAGGAAGGTAACAATGGTTAATACATTGAATACTGTTATTTTTAAATAAGTTACTCAGAGTACAGGATATTGGCATTTAATTGTCCAAACAGCATTAGCACAAACCTTTCTTTTCAGTGAACTAAGAGAAATTAGTAGTATTACTATTGTGTGTGTATATATATAATATATATATATATATTTTTTTTTTTTTGCTTTTTCTCTTTCTTCTTTTCTCAATCCCCCCATCCCAGTTTCTATTTCCTTTTGGTAAATCCTTCCTTTTAGCTTCAATATCATTTCTTAATTGTTAGGGTACTTGGTATACCACCCAAAGTTTTTGCTTTTGAATAATTTCTACTCTAAAAGGGGAGAAATTTTTAAATGTTCATTTTTACATGTGTTGTAGGGCATGTACTATGTTGAGTCATTCACTGCTTCTTTTAAGAGAATTATTTCTTTCGGCTGGGGATATAGCTCGGTGCATAAGGGCCTGTCTGGCAAGTGCAAGGTCCTGAGTTCAATTCCTGATCCCCACTCCCCCTGCACAAAAAAAAAGAGAATTATTTCTTAGCTTGTTTCTGTGTTGTCTTAAATGTGGGAGTGTCCAAGTTTATGTCCTGTTTCTCGTCTCAACTTCACTACTACTTTGCCTATTCTCTGGTGATTCCCTTTCCCCTGTGGACCTTGCCTTTCTCAACTGTGAGATAAAGGGTCACAGGTGAATTAAAATCTTCAGGGCCAATCTTTTGCCTCTGGAAAATGGTACAACTGGTTTAATGTGTTGTTCTTGTTTCTCGCACTAGGGGGCAATATACTCAGCACATTGAAACACATCTGTCAATTACAGTTCCTGCTAATAGGTAAAGGGATTGATGTAGCAAGATTATTTTTCTCTGCTTTGGTCCCTCGACCTCTTCTGAAGCCTCAAGTCACAATTAGAGCCTCCTACCAACCTAGACACGAACATCCATCAAAAAGAACATGGCTGGATTCCCTGTAAAATCTTGGATCCCTTGCTTGTGTATTATGTCTGTGGTTGGGAAGAAGGTATTATCCATCAGGGACAAATGAACACTCAGAAAGAGAAAAACCAAAATGACAGATTTTGTTCAGAAGAGAAAGCCATTGTAGTAACACTGTCTAGCTACAATGTGCCCCTGAGACCAGCCTGTGGTCGGCAGTCACCGGAGGCTGTGAGTAGCCGGGGAGATCAGCCTATCCAAAATGACCTTGGGCAAGTCCCTACCCTCTGAGTATCAGCTCTCAGCCTGTGAAATGAGGCGAGACTATACATCACCAGATAGCCTCCTCCTACCTCCTGTACCGTGACAGGTGTCTCACGAGCCACAGGAGCCTGGCTCACCATGTCCAGACAGATGCAGCCTTGGAATCCTGAACACTATAGCCAGTGGGAGTTGGCCCATAGGAGAAACCTTTTTGTCATCTCTTCTGACCTTAGATGATTTCTGAAGATCCTTTTGACACTAGCATTCAATGATAATTGGGCTTTAACTGCAGAGACCCAATTTCAGCTGCTTATGGGTGATTTGGCATCAATATTCTTATGACTTTGTACACTGGGTAGAGCCAGGACAGTTTTCTGTTTTGTGTGACTACAGTGCTGACCAAAGGCAGAAAAACATGATGCTTGGCCCATTGGTTTAGCAACAGGGCTTAGTTTTCATGGAGAGGTTGATAGTCATACTGCAAAGTAATTAAGAAATTCTTGGCTTTGCCCTTGACCTTTAGAACTTCACTTGGAATTTTCAGATCCATGTACAGAATGTGATGACATTTAGACAAGAAAATTAAATTCTTCTGAGTAATTGTGGGCTTAACTCAGAATTCATTGTTGGGTGTTACCTCCATCATATGATTCAGTCACCATTTATTTAAAAATGAATGCCAGTGAACATACCCTAGCTAACAGTATTAATGAGTGAGAAGTCATAAAGACTTGGGTTCTAGTCATGGCCTTACCCTTTATAAGCCAACTGACTAAACCCTCTCAGGGACTCAGCCTCCCACCACCATCTGTAAAATAAGGGCAATTGTACCAGCCCTACCTATCTCGGTCATGAGGGTCAAATGAGATCACACATCTGAAAATAGATTACATGGGGCAATACATCAGACAACTCCAAGGAAATGTGCGACAGGTTTTTGTAAGGACTGTCTAGGACATATTAATCATCTTAAGTTCAGTCAAGCAACTCAAAATTTCTGAACTCTCATGCATTGTTGGCAGAAATGTGAATCGGGCAACTTTCTAGAGCTTTGTCAGGACACTATAAATCAAAAGCCTTAAAATGTACGTGTTACATATCCATTAGGCTGGTTAAGATATAAAAGACAGGTGATATCAAATGTTATTGGGGATATGGAACAAATTTTTGTACTCTACATGCAGGAGCCATGATTGGTACAACCACTTTGGAAAACTGTGTTGCAGTATGGACGACATATACCATTTATGACCAACAATTCTACTCGTAGGCATTTACTCAGTGGAAATGTATATATATGTTCACCAGAAGACATGGACTAGAGAGGTCACTGCACTCTGCTTTGTAATAGCAAAAACTGACAACTGCCCCAAGCCTACTGACAATAGAATGGATAAAACATTGGGGTATATTCACATTATGGGATCCCACCTAGCAATGGTAATGAAGGAATTAAAATGAACTTGCTGAAATAGGAGAAATCTCATAAACATAAGGTTGAATTATAAGTGCAAAATCAAAAGGCTATTTGCTACATAATTACATTTATATAAAGTTCAAAAACAGACAAAAATCTGTGGTGATAGAATATAGGATACTTGTTACTTGAAAGGGAAGGCAGGGGCTGGGAGGAAGTGTAAAGAGAGTTCCTTAGGAGACTCGAATGGTGGTGCATGCCTATAATTCTAACACTCTTGTAGGCTGAGGCAGGAGGATTGAAAATTTGAGCCCAGCTTGGGCAACTTAGTGATTTAATGAGGCCCTGTCTCAAAATTAAAAAATAGTAAAAAGGGTTTGGCATGTAGCTTAGTGAAAAGGTCCTGGGTTTAATCCTTAGTTTAAAAAGAAGAAGAAGTGTCTGGGTTGAGGGCATGCGGACTCTTTTTTTGATAGTTAAACCACTAGCCATTCACATCTGGTGCAATCAGGATTTATGACCACACAGCATCAACCTCTAGGCCCCTACGTAATTTGCCGTACTGAGCAGGGATGTTCAAGCCCATTTCAGAAAACGGCAGCAACTCCAAGGCAAGGCGATCACTTGAAGTGGTCTTTTCCCTTCCTTGTTCTTTGGGCGGCTGCGGCGGCGGCAGTGGTGGTATCTCCGTGTGATGCTCAGGCTGGTCTCAAACTGCCGGGTGTGAGCAATCCTGCATCTGAACTCACATGTGTGACACTGCATCCTTAAATAACTTTAAGTGTATACCTTGATGACTTCTTACACCTGTGTAAGCCCATTCTTAGATGAAGAAATTGAATATGTTCCTGCCCACTGTGAACCCTCTTTTGTTGTGGTACTGGGGATTGAACCCAGGGCCTTTCCACTGAGCTAAATCCCCAACCCATTTTTAGTTTGAGACAAGATAGCCAGCCTGGGCTGGAATTTTGACCCTCCTGCCTCAGCTCCCCAAGGTACCGGAATTATAGGCATATGCCACCACATCCTGGTTTATTTATAGGAGGATAAAGACAGTTCCTAGGAGTCAGGTATGGTGGCACATTGTCTACGGCCATCCCACCCTGAATGCGCCTGATCTCGTCTGATCTCGGAAGCTAAGCAGGGTCGAGGCCTGGTTAGTACTTGGATGGGAAGTATGGTGGCACCTGCTTGTAATCCCAGCACTCCGGCTGAGGAGGATCACAGTTCAAACACAACCTTGGCAATTTAGTGATTCAACTAGACCTTGTCTCAATATAAAGACGTTTCAATACAAGGCTAGAGTTGTAGCTCAGTACAAAGGCCTTGCATTCAGCCCCCAGTAAAACACACACACACGTGTTTTTAATAAACAAAACACCTGTGAAACAATTATTGAGGAAAACTAGTTTAGACTCAACAATGTGCCACCTTGTAATTAGTGGTTTTTTAAAAACTATATAGTCATTGGGCTTTCTTTTTATTATGTGATACATATTTTTCCATTCTTTTATTTTTTTGTGATGATTTTGTTCACTGTGATAAAATATACATAACAGAAAATTCACCACTTTGATCCTTTTTATGTTTACAACTCAGTGACACTAAGTACATTTACAGTGTTGTACAACCATCATTTCTACCCTTTCTGAAAATTTTTTTGTTGTCCCAAATGGCAACGGTATATCCAATAAATAATAGTTCCATTTCCTCTTCCCCCTGGTCCCTCGTAATCACTATTCCAGTTTCTGTGTCTGTGAATTTGCC